AGGAATCACCATCCCAACAGGTCACTGACCATAAGGGAGCCCTGGAGTTTTCCTGTCCAGGTTTCAGACATATTACCTCAGGATATCCAATCTGTGAGAAACACTAATATATTGGATGATGATTTTTCTTCCCCCCCCAAAATAACTTTCAGGAATACAGACAGAATGTTCAATACATCAATTTTTAGAAGACAGCCCTAATGACTAGGCTTCCAGCTTCAGACTTCAGAACAGAGTTTAATTCTCTTTCCCACCACAGACTGTATTGATGGTACTTGGAAAATTCAATGATGGAGGAATCCACAACGGTACCAATGAACAGGGACACTCAGCACCCCCAGCTGAAGCCACCGAGCACAGAGCAAAACAAACCCATTGATTTCTGGGAAGCTTTCTGTGCATTGATGGGAAGATCCAACTGCTATGAATCTGCTAGCTGAAAGCGTGGCAGGACAAACCTCTCCAGGGGTTAGACAGGTTCCTCACATGCAGCCCAGTGAAACCCAGTTGCCTGAGAACCACTGACATGGGCTAGTGGGTCTTGCTACTCCATACTTAGGTAATGTAGTAACCACAGAGGAGTAACACTGCCTGGCTGACACTGCTCAGATGCTTGAGCAGATACATGAAACTAAAAGTCTTCTTATCCCTGCAAAGAATTCAATTTCAAAAAAGTCTTCTGCAGTTCTGTCCATTTAAATCACCAAGGCTTGGAGAACCCTTCAAAGGCAGAGTTTATATTCCTGAAGCCCAAGACACTGAGTTGTACCAAACAGGAGGACAAGCCTTTCTAGCTCAGAAACAGAATAGATGGTTTCTAGAAAACCAGATAAAGCCCAAAGAAAATGAAACCAGAAGTAATTGCCCTGACCGGTGATCACAGAGTTCCCACAGCAGAGGGAAAGGATCCTCTGCTGTGACCTATTATCCCTACCCTGTTACACTGGAGCTGTAACCTCTGCTCTCAGCAGCAGGTAAAACCTTCTGTCTCCTCTGCCATCCTCTCAGCATCTCATCCCCTGTTCACATCCTCAGCAATCCCCGTGTCCCGCTGCTGCAGGGCAACGGAGCCACAAAGGAGGGGGCTGAGACCAAGCTCAGCTCAGTGCTGAAATGAAGAGCCAAGGGACTATGATGTGACTGCAAGGTGCCTGTTTGTTCCATTTCTTGATTTCTGCTGCACATACCAACACCTCTGCTTTTCTTATGACTCTCAGGAGGGTCAATTGTTTGTAAGTAAATGAAATTTTTGGGTGAAAAGCAAGCTAAATAGAGTTTAAAAATGGTACTAACAGAGATCTGAATACATGTAGCTCCACATACACAGTGAGATGGGCATCACTGCATAAGGATTCATACAATTTTGTTTGATGTGTCAACTCAAATTATGTAACAGAATTGAAACCCCATCACAGGAGCATCTGTCACCACTCTAAGGCTGAAGGGATGCAGATCTGCATGGGGGGTTGTGGGAGGCTTGGAAGTTTTTGCCAACTCCTCAGTTTGTTTATACTTCTATAAAAGAGAAACAAGTACATCATCAATCTAAGGGCTGTGGCCCAAAGAGACAGAAGGACTCCTGGAATGATCACATTCTAACACACTTTGGGTAAAGAAACAGAATTTTGTTCTGGTGCTCCACTGAAATTCATGCTTTGAATCCACAAATGAGAGATATGAAGCCAGAAAAGATTCTGAGTTATTAATGAAAAATGTTCATATAAAGAAGAGATCTGTAGAAATGATATTTGCAGATGTTAAAAACTACAAGTCTGAACAACTTCTGTCTCTATCTGTACACAGAAATTCGCAACTACTGAACCGGAAGCCAAAAATCTGATGCAGATTCTTCTGTTAACTGCAAAAATGACCAGGATCCTGTATTTCAGACAACAAAAATGCAAGTTCTGATTCTTTTACACACAACAACACTTACAGGTAACTGTACTGAGTGGAATAAAGCTTTAACATTAATAAAGAAAAATATTTTCCCCTATTATTCAAGATATTTCACTGTAATATTATTACAATTGTTTTTAGAATCATCAAATGACAAAGTTGTTCTGATTTTTAGAAGATGCTTATTCCTCTATCCTGGACCTGTTTCTAGCATAACTAAAATATTAAACAGATGTGGGTGAGAGGTGGGAGGGAGTCGTTTGGGTCACCAAAGATCCCCAGGATGCTGATCAGGAAGCAGCACAGACTAACCCGAGGGGTTTTTAGGGGATCTCATGTACCCCAGCACTGCCTTCTGAACGAAGTGTGGGGCAGGGAGAGCAGCACATCTGACCATGACAATCCAAGTGCCTTTTTTTCCTGCCACAATGTATCCCCAGCCCTTCCCCCTCCCCACTGGCACTGTCCCTCTGGCTTTCCCTGCTGTGCTGCTCTTCAGAAGCTGGTCAGAACTCACTCAGTGGTTTCATGTATTATTCAGTATTTGCCAGGCTCAGTTCTGCTGATGAATGGCACATAAAAAGTTACGAGCAGAGAGTTTTATGGGGAACCTGTAGCTCACTGGAAAGGAAATGGCACTTCTCTCAGTCTACATGTTTTATTGAAAACAAATGTCATTGTGATAAACAATTTATGTACCAAAACCGTAACTGGAATGAACTTCAGAATTAATATCTAGCAGAACAAGATTAGCCTTGCAGGCTGTTTTAAGAGCACTGACAGATACACAGCTGTACAGCTCTGTGGTCTGACCCATCGATACAACACAAGACCTCTGACTGTCATTATGCTTATTAGTGTCAATATCAATGATTTCGGTTTTGCCACATGGAGACTGTTTTACTCCAGAAGTATATTTTAAGAACTGTAATAAACATAAGCACACAGGTGGACAATCACCCATCATCTGCTCCTCACCCTTTTCTGAAAAATTATGACACAATTACAGTCGTAAAATTATTAACGATTGCAGTTTGTAAAAGCCTGGTCAAATATTGACATTGAAAAAAACCAAAGAGAACAAACATGAAAAAGTAGCAGTCTGAAGTGTAAATGGCCAAGCTCACAGAATATGTAACAATTACTATCTTTTTTTTTTAAAACAAAATTTGAGAGATCTGATATGGAAGTGCAATAGGGGCAAAAATATTAAAACTGTTGTCTGAAACCAAGTCAAAAGGTTCTGCCTCCATTTTAGAGACAGGAGAACAGAATCAGGAATAATTCCTTTCCACTTGCATCGATTTTCAAATTATTGTCAGTGAAATTATGATGTTAGAAAGGTTTTATAAGTGTCTGTGTCAAAGGCCCTGTGTAACTGTGTCATTAGTTTTAGTCCCCACAAACAGACCCCACCATTTCATGAGAAAAGAAACAGCAAATCCCAACTGGCAGTAGCACATTCACTGGAATCTGCAGATGGGTAAACTAAGTTTTTAATTACTCTGGCCAGCAACCTCCAAGATTTACCTCTACAGAGTATTTTAAGCAACTAGTTCAGAACACAGAAGAAATGCCTGGAAAGGCTTTACAAACACAGGCATCTCCTCTGGAATGGCAAGAGAGACCCCACTGGAGAAGTTTGTTACAGACTATGCAGACACTCCTACACCTGCTTGAAGAAGCAGCTTTTAAAAACATGGCCTGAAGGACACAACTGCTAAAATGGCTTTGAAGGAAAAGGCAGCAGAGTGTGACAGTCCATTGGGAAGGATTCCCAAATGCATCCCACAGGAGTGGGGCTGAGACTGAATGTTTCCTCTTCAGACTGGAGGCAGGAGGGCACAACCTGATCTACTACACCATTGAAATAGTGAGTAATATAACCATGCATGTGTCTGCACAAAATGTTTATCCCCACTGCATCTCACATGGAGCCCCCTGCCCATCCCCCTCCCAATCCCCATCTTCCTTTTTCCCTGCTCTACAACACTGAATTACTGCACCAGCTTCAAAACACCAGGAAAATTAAACACAGTGCAAGGAAAATTATATCCAAACACTCCAGCAGATTCATCAATCACAATAGGGAACAATTTAGCACAAGCACCTCTCAAAAACTTCTTAATATAAATACATCTAAAACACCTTTCTTCCATTTGACTTATTTAAAAGCTCTGAGCAACCTGCTAAAAGAAAAACAATTTGCAAATGACAGACTGATTTGTGATCTCTGCAAGAATTTGCTGCTTACTGATGCCCTTCTCAAATGCAGAACCCAGGAATACCGTGGAGAGTCAATTACTCCCTGAGAGCTTCAGGCCTTACTTACTCATTAATAATCAGATCTGGTGCAAAGCACAGGAGATTTCCATTGGATTGCTTGTATGATCTCCATCCTAAAGCAAAAGCCATCAGGAACATCCATGAGTACTGCAGCAGGGTCATTTGGTCATCCAGATGTAAGTTTCGGAAACCTAGAAAAATGAGAATGTGATGGTAGTGGTTGCAGGGGAAAGAAAAAGCCACCCCATAACTTCTCCTTAGCACATCTGTATTACCAACGCAGATTACCACTTTTAAAAGTGTATTTAACAAGAATTTCTGCCAACTGTGTCTGCAGGTGGGAGCCAACCCATCACCAAACCTTCCACATTCCCCTGGGACAGTCAGCTTAGCTGAGCAGCTACAGCACCCGAGAGAAAATGAACACCCTGACTTGTGCTCTGGGCCTGCACACTCCAGTGCCTGTTCCCAGCCAAAACACCCTACTGATGTGGTGAGGGGCAGTAAAACCAGCACCATCCATCAAGGCAGATCAGACAAACCAGTACAGCAGCACCAGTCTGTAAAAGTCAAGAGAAACTCCTTGCTAAAAATATTCAAGAACTACTGATCTAAGAGGTTTGGCTAGAGCTAACAAAAATAGCTTTCTATATTACTTTTAAAAACAAATCTCTATTCTAGTACGAATTTTAACACCCAATGGTCAAAGGGCTCAAGCAGAATGACCTAATTTGTTAGAGTAGCAAATCACAGAATCATAGGATGGTAAAGGCTGGAAGGGACCTTAAAGATCCTCAGGTTCCAACCTCCCTGCCAGGAGCAGGGACACCTCCCACCAGCCCAGGCTGCACAACCGGCCCTTCAACACCTCCAGGGGCAGCCACCACCTCCCTGGGCCGCC